GCGTTCCACCTGCCCACGGGGAAGCTGCTGCCCAGAGCGAGCTGGCTGCCATACAGAGGACTCCCCAGGCCTACAATTTAGTGCTGAGACGGTGGGGGGCTGGGCGCCGCCCCCCCCAGCCCTTGTCCAGGGACCTAGTTACCTGGAGCAGAGCTGAGCTAGTCCCCCTCTCCTCTCCCCCACCCACCCCCGCAAAGTCTCCTGTGTGCCAGGCCGCAGAAAGTGCCCTGCTTTCAGTTCCAGCCCCTGCCACTTTTCAAGAGCAAATGGGTCACCACTGCGCGCTCTCTTGGGTGGAATCACAAGGGCTGTGTGTCCTAGGCCCTCTACTGCTAGGCCGCAGAAAGTGCCCTGCTTTCAGTTCCAGCCCCTGCCACTTTTCAAGAGCAAATGGGTCACCACTGCGCGCTCTCTTGGGTGGAATCACAAGGGCTGTGTGTCCTAGGCCCTCTACTGCTAATGAAGAGTCTCCTAGCCCCCCAAGAAGTGGGACGGGGAGGGGCCGTGCCGAGGGAGCGGGAAGGGGAGAGTCCTTGCCGGGCCGGGGAAGAGCCAGCTGGGCCCGCGTATAACGTGGGGAGCCGCGGTGCTGGCTGGGGAGTTCTACGTGTGTTCTGCCCGCTCGCGGCTGAGGCGGTCCGTGTGCAGCCCACGCGTTCTAAACCCCTCGTGCAGACAGACCAATCACGGCGCGCAGAGGGGGGGGGGGTCCTGGGGACATGGCGGATGAACCCAGGCATCCTGGTTGCCCGTGCCCCTATTCCTCCAGTGCTGCTCCCACCCCAGGCTGCAGGGAGAGCAGGGTCAGGTTCTTTCGTCAGTAGCTGCTGCTCAGATCACCCTACCGCAGGGAGGTGTGAGAGTCGCACCTGCTCCACCCAGCAGCCCAGCTCTGCCCCCGTTAGCGCTGAGCAGCCATGAAAGTGTTAACAAAAGCGTAAAGTCGTTGTCATTAGGTTTCAGAGTCAACACCCCATTGAGCTGAATGGGGGCCATGTGCACCTGCCGCCGCGTGACCGAGCTGGGCTGCCTGCAGACTCAGGCAGACCGGGGCAGAGATTTGCGCGGACGTTCAGCAAAAGCAACCCGCCATCCAACCAAGGATCAGCTCACCCGATTTCCCTTCCTGTCTCCCCCGCACTCTTCACTGCCTCTGGGGCCCTACGAGGCTGGTGGCCCCCCCTCCTCCCTGCAGAGCATCAAATCGCTGCACCCGGCTGCACCAGGAGGCACAACTATGTCTCCAGAACAGCTGTTCAAAAGGGGGAGGGGACCTGTCCTTTTGAGCCCTCCCAGTGCGTGATACGAGGCAGCCAGGCCCTGCTTAACCCGCTCCCTGTGCAGCGCCCCCGTAGCAAACGCCTGTCCCAGCAGCAGCACGCGCGCCAAGCCTACTAGCGACCCGGCTTGCACCCGGCTGCACCAGGAGGCACAACTATGTCTCCAGAACAGCTGTTCAAAAGGGGGAGGGGACCTGTCCTTTTGAGCCCTCCCAGTGCGTGATACGAGGCAGCCAGGCCCTGCTTAACCCGCTCCCTGTGCAGCGCCCCCGTAGCAAACGCCTGTCCCAGCAGCAGCACGCGCGCCAAGCCTACTAGCGACCCGGCTTCCCCCCGACCCACAGGCCCTAGCTCCCTGGCCCGGGGCCCTGCTGGGTCTACCAGGCCTTGCCCACCTCTGCTGTGCGTTCCCTGCCATGGACACAGCAAACGGCCCGGCTAGGTGGGGAACAGGCAGGAAAGCCCTTCAGGCCCCGGCGGGGAGGGGGCAGGCGGTTCCTCCAGCCCAGCTGCTCTGCAGGTCCACTCTGGGCACCTTGGGAGCTTACCAGGCAGCCTGTGTGTCTCCTGGTGGTGCACAGCTGCCCATGCCTCGGTGCACAGAACAAAATTTATTCCACGCGGATTTAAAAAAAAGAGCGGGCATGTGGCGCCGTAGTATCAGTATTGCCATTACTGGCGCATCTACGTGCCCAAGGCCTGGAGCAGCCCGCCCCCTCCCCATGGTGGCAGCTGTTGCATAGACACTGCCCAAAAAGCAGGTCCCAGGTCGGCCATGGCCCCACGGCTCCCTTGTCTCTGGAGGGCGCGGTGGTTCCAGGAGCCAGGGCATGGGACCACCCTGTGGGTGCTCAGCGAATGCCCCCCCCAACCCGGTCTGTGCTAGC